AGCTAATTGTATTTGTAAAATGTGACATTTTAATGGTTAAGAAGATTCTACATTTATCTTTTTTTATTACTTTTTTTACTTGTGCAAACATTTAACAAAAACCTTTTAAAATCATTTTGTGATGTAACCGAGTTTCTAAAGTGATTATACTGACCACACTAATGTGATGCTAATGTAAAGTGAGTCTTTATGCTTTATTAATCTTTTACATAAGTGCGTTATGACATCCTCGGCAAGTCAGAATTGTTCTTTTCTTTTGAATGTGCTTGAGATTTACTGATGTTGACTCTTATTATAAATAGTGCATATTTACATGAGACCTAATAATTATGCGCAGCACAATAGTAGCAACTGATCTTAACTTAATGTTTATAAAACTATGATCTATACCAGGGATGCCCGAACTTTTTTTGCATGAGGGTCTAAAAACCAAATATCATTGAGAGCCGTGGGCTGAAGGTAAATATACCAAACTATATTATATTAAAGTTGCCATAATATTTTAAAACAAATAGAAAGCATTACTTTAAATATTATTTATTAATACAGTATAAATAAACCAAAAAACAAAAAAGCTATCTCATTTACACTCCCCAGCCACTTTCTTATGTACACCTTACTAGTACCGGGTTTGACCCCTTTTGCCTTCAGAACTGCCTTAATATTTTATGGCATAGATTCAACAAGGTACTGGAAATATTCCTCAGAGATTTTGGTCCATATTGACATGATAACATCACACAGTTGCTGCAGATTTGTCGGCTGCACATCCATGATGTGAATCTCCCATTCCACCACATCCCAAAGGTGCTCTATTGGATTGAGATCTGGTGAATGTGGAGGCCATTTGAGTACAGGGAACTCGTCATAATCAAGAAACCGGTCTAAGATGATTTGGGCTTTATGACATGGCATGTTATTCTGCTGGAAGTAGCTATTAGAGGATGGGTACACTGTGGTCATAAAGGGATGGACATGGTCGGCAACAATACTCAGGTAGGCTGTGACATTTACATAATGCTCAATTTGTAGTAATGGGCCAAGAAAATATCCCCCATACCATTACACCACCACCACCAGCATGAACTGTTGATACAAGGGAGGATTTATCTATGGTTTCATGTTGTTGACGCCAAATTCTGACCCTACCATCCAAATGTCGCAGGAGAAACTGAGACTCATCAGTGCAGGCAATTTTTCCAATCCGCCTCATGGTTGGATGTGTTGTGCTTTCAGAGATGCTCTTCTACATACCTCGGTTTTAACGAGTGGTTATTTAAGTTACTGTTGCCTTTTTATTTGCTGGAACCAGTCTGGCCATTCTCCTCTGACCTCTGGCATCATTAAGGCATTTGCGCAGAACTCCCGCTCACTGGATATTTTCTCTTTTTCGGACGATTCCCTGAAAACCCTAGAGATGGTTGTAAATCAAGTAGATCAGCAGTTTCTGAAATACAGACCAGCCTGTCTGGCACTAACAACAATGCCACATTCGAAGTTACTTAAATCACCTTTCTTCCCCATTCTGATGCTCGTTTTTAACTGCAGGAGATTGTTTTAACCATGTCTACATGCCTAATGCATTGAGTTTCTACACTGTGAGATGTGATTGGCTAATTAGAAATTTGCCTTAACACGCAGTTGGACAGGTGAACCTAATAAAGTGATGAGTGATAAAATGAGTGTAAAACACAGTGGAGTTCAATGCTGAATACACTAGTCAAGCAGAATCTGCCTTTGACTTGATTTGCTCACCAAAGTCTCTGGATTGTCGGATGACAGTGTGTATATTTTAACAAAATCTGATTCATTTGCACCATTTAATTGAAACATTTAATCTCAATTAGCTTTTAACAACAAAACAAACAAGCAAAGGGATACATTAAATTTTAATTGACAATTTCGAAACCATACCCATCATTCTCCCTCTCTTCTAAGATAGGATGACGGGTTACCTTTGGCCCCCAGGCCCTCTAGTTTGGGCATCTCTGATCTATACTTTAATTTCATTTTCTCTAATTTCAGTCATTTTAAAAACAATAAATTAAAAATATGTAGTCTTTTGATATATTATTGCATCTTTTGTTAATGAAATAAACACAGTTGTACCTTGTGCTGCATCTGTTTTCTATTTTCTCCAAAATATAAGTAACTTTTTTATTATTATATTATATTATATTATATTATATTATATTATATTATATTATATTATATTATATTATATTATATTATATAATAAAAGTATCTTGCTTTACATTTCTGAATGAAAAATTGTAAAAGTTACTTATACACTAATGTTACGTAACCTTTTTCCATTCTAATTTTCTGTACAACACAATAATCAGCATTGAAGCGGCCTTCGCAGATTCCATATGGGCCCACCAACCATTCTCGTTAAAGTAAACGCTCTTAAACGGTTTAATTGCGTGTATGTGGGCAGGGTTTTGGCAGCGGAGCGGCTCTAGAGAGCTGTGGAGTAGTTCTCGCTGTGCGGTTATGTAGACATGTTGAATGTGTGACTCCCCATGTGTGCCGCTGCTATGAGACGCTGTCATTACATTCTCAGTGGCCGGCGTGACTCATTCGTCCCGTTCTGTGACTCAGCTCTCAGCGCAGATGCTTCCCATTGAAAAACATCTCATGGCGATGGAGGTCAAGGGGAGGCTGACGAAATCGCTGACATCAAGGGAGGCGTTTCTGCTTTAAGATCACCCTCATTTGAGTTGAAGTACCGTGTGTGTGTGTGTGTGCGTGTGTCTGCTGTACTGCGCCGTCTAGATTTGTTCGCTGTGATGAACTGTGGAGATTAAAGGGGAGATCAGCAGCAGATAATGTCTGGTTCTGTCTGCGAAAAGAGAAACCCTCTGGCCTCTATTTTCAAACACACAGTCCCACAGGGCCGTTTGATGCAGAGAGCAGTCAGTAACTTTCCCAAACAGAGCCGCTCTTACAGAGACAAGAGAGATGGACCCCCACTGCTTCACTTCCTCACAACATACACATGGTCAGATCAAGATGAACAGCGCCGACGTTTTGGGTTGGGTTGCATTAGTATGGCCTGTGTGTGTGCGTGTGTGTGTGTGTCAGAGTGATGAATGGTATTGTCTGATTGTGGTGTGTAGGGCTGCTCACCTACAATGGATGTTACTTGGTCCTGAGGACAGAAGTGCGAGCAGGTTCTTTTATATTACTAATAACAAAACACAACACATGGGATGAGTTTGCTTGCTGGCGTAAATATACTACCATGCAAAATCATAGGTTCATTTATTTATTATTAGAAGGAAAACTCTAATAAATCTGAGTCCAAGGCAGAATTTGTTTGATGAAAAATACATTAAAATTGGGAAATATTATTAAAACAACAGTTATTATTATAACAGCTTAATTATTATTTTAAACTATTTTAGAATGATCTTTCTGTGACACTACCCTGATTTGAAACTATAGATCAGTTGAAAACAGCTGTGTTGCTTAATATATTTATAGGATTTTTACAAAGGGACATCATTTATGTATCTACATATGTACAATCGAAAGCATAAAAAAGGAGCCCTACTGTGAGATTTGACTTCTTTTTTAAATGTTTCCCAAATTATGTTCAACAGAGCAGGAAAAAGTTCACAGTAATATTTTTTCCTTCTGGAGAAAGTCTCATTTCTTTTATATTGGCTGTAATAAAAACAGTTTTTGATATTTTTAAAAAGACATTTTAGGGTCAATATTATTACCTCTCTTAAGGGGTCATGAAACCCCCCTATTTCGGTTCAAGTCTACCTCAAATTTTTTTTCAAAAAATGCTCTGAGAAAAGCGTGGAGCTCTGCAAGCAGAGGGCCAGCAGATGAAAAATGGGAGAGAGCAACTGTTGTCAGTTGGCTCACAAAATGAGACACAAACCGTGAGACCCATGATTTTATAGTTTACAAAGTTAAAATGCACAGAAATAAGTAATTTCAGTAATAAATAAGTAAATAAGTAGAAATAAGTAAAATAAGTAAGTAATTTAATGCCCTCCTACATCTGTTATTTGTAATTTCATATACACATAACCACAATTTGTTATATCATAGTAAAGATAATCGTGTTTATATAAACACTATAAATTTCTCGCCTACTCAATCCTGGGGTCTGAATGAAGACACCGTGGATAGCAGTACAACAGGTCTCTTGCCCTTTCTATTCTAACCATAAACCCTCCCGGTAATCTGGAGGATTTTAAAAGCTGAATGAAGCTGATTCCTGCAATGCCGAAATGGGCACTTTTGCAAACTCTCTAATTTCACTTAATTTTTAATGGCAACTTGTTAGCCATGCTCAATACAGCAAATAATGTTGTTTAAAACAAAAAAGAATAATGATTTTAACTGTTTTAAGCAGTTTTTATCACTTGCTGTTTTTGGCCTTAAAAAGCTGAAACAAGCTGATTTCTGCAACACAGAAATGGGCACTTTTACAAAATCTGATAGATGGATTGATTAAATGTTTAAACTTCAAATGTCCTCACTTCAAATAAATAAGAAATGTTAGGTCACGTCACTAATAAAATAATCAATAGTGTTAAACTAATGACTGGTTTATACAGAATCACTGAATAGTTCTGGAATTGTAATCAGTAAATTCATGATAATCAAAAAACACCGTATTAATCAAGTCAAGAATTTTTTTTACAAATGGTCCTAGATGTAGAATGTAGAAATTCAAATGTTTTAGTGTAAGATATGGCTCACATAAGAATAAACTGCTACAAGTGTGCAGATCTACTTATTCCAGGCTCAGAAAGGATCATCTTTCTCATTTTCACCGTCTTTGTCTTGTCATGGACTTGAGAACATGTGCACCCAGTCTTGCCTCGAGCTCACCCCTGCTCTGGTCTCAGTTTTTATAATGAGCTGGCCTCAACTACTGTACAGAACTGACAGAAACAACATTTTTTTTGTTTGTTTGTCCACATCCACTGAGCGTGACACTAATTTTCAGTGTGTTTGTTTCTTCTTCCCAGGATGGTGGAATACTCCCTTGATCTCCAGAACATCAACTTCTCCGCCATCAGAACAGTGCGTGTGCTAAGACCTCTCAAAGCCATCAACAGAGTACCCAGTGAGTAAACACACACACACACGCTGTACACTTTCCCTCGGAATGCTGTCATCTGCAAACCACAGGTGCTGCGCATGCTTTGTTTTGTTTTGATTCACTGGATTTTTCTGTTTGTTTTAATGCCAAGCTTCAAAATCACCTGCATGTGTCCCCAACCCCTGCTTCATCATTGGGTTTAGCGTGCAGGTCTTCCGGAGCAGAAAAGCTGGAATGAATCAAAGAGGATTTTAAAGCTCTTACTTCTCTGCCACCACCATTAGCAGAGCCAGATTAATCCCTCCTGTAATTGGTTAGAAAAACAGTTGTCCTTGAACAAACGCCATCATTTATATTCCTCTATCTCACGTTCACACCCCTTCCAAAAAAAAAAAAAAAATGTGGCCTTTCTTTGAGTTTCCGTAAGAAGGGCAGGATTTATCAATATTTCAGTGCCCACGGCCATGGTGTAACACATAAAATATGAATTCTAACTGAATTAGCTCGCATTTGATTTCGCAGCTCGGAAGTCTTGATGAAGAGATGGCGTGTGTTCGAGGGGAGGGTTTCAGAAAGTGTTTGTGGAATGTAGGTCTTTGTGTGTTAGTGCGTTTGTATGTCGGGGGAAAAAATAGATTTCGAAGATGCATATACGCTCTCTGTCTCATGCATGTCGGCATACGGAATCAAATTAACATCCACTTAGCTGTGCTTGTAGCATGGCGAATTGTGGCAAGGTTTTATGCAAAGCTTTGTAAATGGATGGTTCATTAACATTGAACATTTGATCACCGTTAGCACATTTTTGAGTTGGAATGTGTAGATCAATATGTGTACTGGTAAACTGGAGATATCACTAGGGCTGTAACGATACATTCACGGTTCAATATGTTTCTGGATAATGAACTAAATTTTATATAATCTCAAAATTGAATGCATAAAAATAATATGACAGATTAATATTAGCATTATTATTGCTATTTCTTAAATCTATGTAAAGAAAAACAGTTCAGACTTGACCACTTTGGCTAGTTAGGATGCTTTTATTGACAAATTTATATTTAGAGGTATAGTTCCTAATGGGGGTTCTTGCTTCATTATTATTAGCACATACAAAAGTTCTGTTTTAACCCTCTGAAACAATAACTATGCAAATACATGAGGTAAGGATTAAATCAGGGTGTATTATAAAGTCTTATTATAAAGATTCGAGGATGGCTCTGCTGTAGCTTGCTGTGTAGAGGGTCTGTCCTTCTGCTATGTGGTCTGTAATGCTAAAACTTGAGGGCTTGGTAGTCTGAAATAAGACAAGACAACAGCCAGTAGGTGCACAGGTATATTTGAACCTCTAAAACAAGGCTGGGGAACGTCCAGTCTCCAGGCCATATGTGGCCCACGAGACAATTTGACCAGCCCGTCGGTCAATTCATAATCAGGAACCCATCAGGAAAGAAAAATAATGTCTGTGATAAAAAGTGACAGTCAATTAATAAATATTATTTACAAATAAATAAATAAAAAAAGAAATATAATATTATAGATTCATTCATTCATTTTCATTTTGGCTTAGTCTCTTTATTAATCAGGGAAGCCCTTCCGGCTGCAACCCATCACTGGGAAGCACCTATACACTCTTATTCACACTCATACACTACAAACAATTTAGCTTACACAATTTACCTGTACCGCATGTCTTTGTACTTGTGGGGGAAACCAGAGCACCCGGAGGAAACCAACGCAAACACGGGAAGAACATGCAAACTCCACACAGAAATGCAGAGGCTCGAATTAGTGACCTTCTTGCTGTTAAGTGACAGTGCTACCCACTTTGCCACCGCGCCGTCTTAAATTATAGATACTATATAATACTATAAAATACGCAAGTCCCTAAGTCAGAGTAACAGTTGGCGTAAACATACAATATGCACGTAACATTTGCACCTTTGAGGTTCTCATCACTGATAATCATGGCGACAAGCAAGAAAAGAAGATGCAGAATGTCGCACTTTTCAAGAAAAATGGACAAATTATTATTTTTTGTTGAAGTTAAAGGCAAGCCGGTGTGCCTAGTCTGTGAGGATGCGCTTGCAGTGATGAAAAAAAACAATCTTGAGCGTCATTACAACTCAAAGCATGCTAAACTCAATGAGCTGCAAGGACAAATGCTCTTGGATAGAGTAAACGCTCTTTGGCAGAGTTTGGGTGCCCAACAAGCAGCTTTCACAAAACCGCAGTCTGACAGAGAGAATGTTATTGGTACAAGTTTTACTGTAAGAGACCCAATAGCTTAAAAACTCAGACCACAGTCAGTAGGAGAGTTTGTGAAAGTGTGTCTTGTTGCCGCTGCAGAGCTGCTCGTGCCAGATAAAGTAAACATTTTCCAGAGTGTAAGTTTATCTTGAAGAACTGTCGCAGACCGAATAACTGATATGGCACAAGACATTGAAACAACACTTAATGACACTGGAAAAAAATCTAGTTTTTCTCTCTGGCCTTCGAAGAAACAACAAACATAACGAAAACCACCCAGCTAGCTATCTTTGTGCACTGCTGAGTTTGAAACAACAGAGGAATTGCTGTCTTTGCAAGCCATGCATGGCTAAGGTGATGATTTGTTTAAGCAAGTTGTTTTGGCAATGAACAAATTTGTATACCATTCGAAAAGTTAAGTGGCCTTGCCACAGTGAAGCAGTTCTAACCACCACATTAGAGAGGTTAGTGATATATACAGTATGTTGAATAATTTAGTGTAACCCCTAAATGATTATGATTTACAAAACTGAAAATGGCCCTTGATAGAAAAACGGTTCCCCACCCCTGGTCTAAAAGGTAGATGGCAGCACTATGCCTACATGGCCTGGCTGAACTATTGCTGTGCTCGATTAATATTTTTTTTATATATATATATATATATATATATATATATATATATATATATATATATAGACTTAAGTTGCTTGGCTTGAATAGACTTTAAAAGGTTTTCATTTCACAGGACAGTAATGACATCAGAATAACTATTCATAATTCTAAAGCTGTATTATTAATTATGCTAGGCATATTTACTTGCCCTCATGAATAGACCATTTCCACTTGTAAAATCAGACGTTCCTCATAATCAGATTCCCTCTTGCATTATATTCAACATAGGCTAGAATAGCTACTCCTGTTGACACTGTAAGTGTTTGTGCTTACAGAACATTCACACTGTGAATACAGGCATTTGTTGGAACTACGGAAAACTAGCAGCCACAACTCTGCGTGCTATGAAAGAATGAACCATTTAAAACACGATGTGGTAATTTAAATGATGCAAATGCATTCACTTTGTGGACTATCACAAACATGTGCATGCAAACCATGAATACTACCTGCACGGCTCTTGATAATGCACAAAGTAACTTGAGTTACTCGATTCTTGTGAAGTAAATCAATTGCTTTGTGCAAAGAACTGAATGTTATTTACAACTTCAATACATGCAATTCCTCATCAGCCTGGCCAAGCTGTCTGAGCAAGTCACTAGCATATCATCCAATAATGACGTATTCGGTGGCATGACCTCTGCATCTCTCTGTGGTAAACAAACCCAAGTGTGCCAGCTCATGTGAGATTTTGCAGCCATGAATATGTCTTTATGCAACAGAGTATGAAGGAGGAATTGTAATTTTGGGTGAATTATGCCATATAAATATAGTAAGCTGACTCTTGGATAAAACAAGATCAGTATCACAAATCATATCATCAGTACATACAAATGTTTATTATTGCTCAAAGTTTCAATGTATATTTATACCCCTAGAAATCACTATATTCATTTGTTGCAAAACAACAGTGCAAACATTCAGAATTTTTCATGTTGTTCCTAAAAAACCTGGGAATCTTAGCAAACTATAAAAATGCATTGCCAAGAAACATCTCAAGCACCCTCAATATTCTCATCAGGTAATAGTGAATGGCATCCCACTTGGAAACTAAGCTCTTTTTGCAATGACCTTGAATGACCAGACTTTAATTCATCCTTTTCTCTCCTGTTGTTATTTTTGTGATTGCCTTCATTTCTCTGTGAGCGGTCTAAGAAACAATTACACACATTTTCTAGAGGTCCAGATATTCACAGCGCTATTCTCTTCACCTGTCCACATTGACTTTTGAAGCATTTGTGTGTTACAGCTCACAACTTGGTGTGTTAATGTGTTCCATCAGCGTTGTGTTAGTTCCCTGTTGTGTTTCCCCCAATCACGCACACTGCGGTAATCACATGCTGCTGTTCTCCAATCAGAACGGACACACACCCTTCATTCAATCCCAGCAGTGCTTCACTAACACACGAACACACTCTCACTCACATAAACAAATCTGCAATCCCACTGACAAGCTACTGGATGGACGCTCACAGAGACTGATGAAAAGTCTGTGCGCTTGAAATATTACCTGTGTGAGATTCTGTTAACACATTTCTATTTCTGAAACCATGGTGTGCCAACTTTGGATTTTATTTTGTTTGTTTCAGGTCATAGTGACACAGCCTGTTATATCTAAATAAAGTGAGGTAAAAATGAGTTTAAAAGTAACCTAAATGACAAATAATATACTATGACAACATCGTTAACACTGGATCTACTAGAATTACAGACAGGCTGTACCCAGACTGGTGAAAGGGGTGGTTCTTTTTTTCTCAAAATAGTCAACCTTTTTGCAGTTATTTGCCTCGTTTTCTGTTTAATTATGAGATTTAAAAATCTGAATTTAGGTGACATTTTAAGTACTATTTTGAGCTAAATAGTCAAATATTTCCTAAATATTTAGAATAAAAAAACATGACAATTTTCCTATTTTTTAAAATACAAATTTATTACATCATATATCATTAAAAAATAGTTATTTATGAGGCAAATAACACACTGGCCAGCACAATTTCGCCATTTGAATAAAAAAAAACATAATAACTATAATAATAAAAATAATAATAATAAGAAAAATTATTATTATTATTTTTTATTATTATTTATTTTTATTATTATTATTTAAAGCTTCACAATTTTTCTAGCCTCTCTTGTAAAATAAATAAATAAATAAATAAATAAATAAATAAATAAATAAATAAAACATTGAAAATGTAATTCATGTACAACAACAATATCCAAAATGGTATTCATTCAACATCAAAATTAATTTTAATAATGGCAGCTTTTGGTGCTTCACACTTTTTTATTGGTCATGTTTCCTATTTAGGAATACGGTCCAAGATTTAGAATAAAAGTTACTTGTCAAATGTCATTTGTCTCTAAACAATACAGTAGTGAAAGATGACTTCCTTTATGTCAGACGTTTTCTTGCACAGCTGGATGCTGGATGTTGGATGTTGAAGAATAATAGTTTGCAATGGCCAAAACTGATTAAGTGAAGTCACACCAGGATTCTGCTTTTTATGATGGCATAGCAGTCAAAATAGGACAAATGAGCTCGTGAATGGGACAAATTCTGGAACTTTGTCTGTGAGGGGTGGGTCTCTATGGGCCTGACATAACTGTAGACTGACCATCTCAGATAAGATGTCATATTGTCACTTCATATTTACATTTAAAGCTTCTATTGATATATTAGAATTAAGCTTCAAATGTTTACTTTCCTATTTTATGAGATTTTCGTCTAAAAATACCATCTTTTTTTGTAATACAATCTATAAATGTGTGCAGGATACTAGACCGCCTGCAAAGATGCAGACCTCATTTTGTCTGGCAAGCAGGAGAGCAAATTTTTTTTTACTGGCCTAAATATGACATGTCTAAAGTAAAGTTATGTTTTTGCTGCCATAAAGTTATGTTTTTATTTGCAGGAAGTTGCTAGGCAACAAAGGCACACACTCAAAAGCAAAGGAATAGGTAGCGGACACTGAAAGGCATGCAATCAATTTAGAAATAATTAGAACTGTTTTGTGTTGTCATTTTAATAAAAGATGGTATAATTTAGGAAATATCAAGGTATTCATTTTAGCAGTTATTCAATTATAAAATTAAATAAAAAGGTCAAAAAGACCGCTTCTGAGGTTCTAGTGTTAAAGCCGTAGTTATTCCAAAACTGAAAGTATTTCCATGGTTTACATTAAACCTGTATGAATGCCTTTTTTATTCTGAACACAAATTAAGAATATATTTGGAAGAATATGGATAACAGTTCCACAGTATCCCTATTGTCTTCCACTGTATAAAATAAGGGCAGAGGTCGACAAAAAATGTTTGGCTATCCATATTCTTCAAAATATAAAGTGTTCATGTTTGTATGAAACTGATTAGTGTTTAGTAATTTGTAATTAATATTATTATTTTGAATCAAACAGTCTCTTTGTCTTTTATTATTTTAATAGTCCTTTCTACTGCTTTATTTTTAAATGTATTCAGTCGTTTGTCTTGAATTATTTTCATGTGTTTATTTTCTGTCTTTTTATTTTACTTTGACTCATGTACTGCACTTTGGTCAGTCTTGTAACTGTTTTGAACCCCCAGGGGTCTAAGGGTGTTTTGGGTCCATGGACAAGTTTTGACATGTACTGACATTTGTGTTGTTTTCAGTATGTTAAAAACATATTAATGGCTAAAGTGTGATAAACAGCACAAGCTGGGCTACAATAATACCTAAGCAGCATGTGTGTATGTGTTAGTGTTTTTGAGTAAGACATGTTTATGCATGATTAGTGAAAATCTAAAATTTTGAAGTCACTGAAATAAGGCCGTGAAACACACAGAGAACATTTGTTCACAGGACTTTTGAGAACCGATTCTTGCTTACTTGCTTACAAAAAACAAAAACTAAACAAAAAACTAAATTACATTTTCTAAGTCACTTTTTGATTGTAAATGGTCTATGCGAGAAGGCGTGAACTATCATTACTAATGCAGTAATTCACACCTGAGAAGACAAATACCTGCATAATGAGCTGCATAATGAGCCATCAGACAGGTATGTGGTGTTAGAAGGAAATGTTTCGAGAAAAAAATCTGAGAAAAAAACAAGTTTATATATTTTTATGTTTGCAGTTTATTTAAAATATTTTTAACTATCACACAAAATAACCAATATACTCTTGTGAGAGTCACCTAACAGATTCAATTGATGTATTGAGCTTATTTGTATGATCAAAACTAAAAGTGTAATTTAAGTTCATTTCAGTGTTATGAGGAGAAGACGCATCATAACGCGTATTTGCGGTTTTTGACCCCTGGGGGTTATACGTGCTCCATAAATAAATATACTTAAACTTGTAATGTATGGCTAAAAATACGCAGATTTTGTGCATTGATTTTCAAAGGAATGGAAAATTCTGGGTAATTGTAAGAGATAAAGGTTGTTGTATTTTGTGCTAGAATACGAAACCACTGTTTTCTTGAATAATGAGTTTCCCAGTGTGTATTGCTATTTTGTATAACAACGATTTTGTGTGTCTGTGTGTTTGTGTAGGTATGCGCATCCTGGTGAACCTGCTGCTGGACACTCTGCCCATGCTGGGAAATGTGCTCCTGCTTTGTTTCTTTGTGTTCTTCATTTTTGGCATCATTGGTGTACAACTGTGGGCTGGACTCCTAAGAAATCGGTGTTACCCAGAGGAGAACTTCACCCTGTAAGTACCAAACGAGGTGGGCTGGTGGGCTTAAGGGAGTAAGAGCGCTGGGACTGAATGTACCAAATGTCCTAATAATGATTTAATTGAGGCACTGAATTCAAACTGCAAGTTAGTTTAGATGACAGCTTAGGTTTACAAGGAGAAAGGGATTGAATTCAGCAGGCCGGATCTTCTAGAAGATGCATTTCAGATCGGACTCCATCATTGGATTGGACTTGTATTTCCAATGTCCTTGTCTCTCTCAGAAGAGATGTGAGCCATGGATATTTTGGGATCTGGTGGACAGTGTGGGCCACTGAGCATATTTTTAATTCAATACCATCTTATCCTCGCTATCTATTCGCTCTCATTTACATTTTTTAAGATGTAAACTAGTCTTACTTTCTCTCATCTTCTCAAGCGCATCCTCCTTTTTAATCTCTCCTCTCATCTTCTTGTTTTTACTGTCTACCTGCACTAAAAATGCAAATGCGGTTCCACCCAGTCGATGGCTCCAGTTGATTAAAACTCAGATTGGCGTCCATATTCATGAGTGGGTGTCTGCCTGAGGTTACCGTGCCAACCGTGGTCTGCCTGCCTCTCTCTGCTGTGTGATTAGATTTGAAAGGACTTACGGTGCATGGCAGTGAAAGACGCCCTGCGCGTTTGTTTGTTTGTTTGTACGCATGTGTGTGGGATAAAGAGGCACATGTCTGAGTTTAAACGTCATTTGAGGCCTGTCTGTCATTTGTTGTCTAGCAGCGAGTATATTTACAGCCTGGGACTATAGTCAGAGTTTTCAAAAGAAGAGTCTGTCATAGAGTCTCTAGAGAGAATGCATGATTTTCCATTTGCTTTGTAACGTCTTTAAAGTTTACACTCTGATTTCTTTATGGTATTTTTTTGGATGTTGAAAAGAATATATGATTCATAGTTTAAGTTTAGTTTGATTTACATGAGGAATTTCTATATGAGTTTCTTTGATTATTCTCTAACTTCAACTTAATTCATCTTTGTTTCTATAGCAAAGCAGCTTAACATAGAAGTTCCAGTAAATGGGAACTGTGTTAGTCCAGTTTTCAGAGTTCAGTTTAGTTCAGTTCAGTGTGGTTTAAATTTCACTGCTGGAAGTCCAAACACTGAAGAGCAAATCCATTGATACACAGCTCCATAAGTCCACTTCGAGAGGTATCCATTCTCAAACATTTAAACTATTTTTATTATGCCTTTTTAGATATTACTTTAATTACTTTAATATTTAGTATTAAACTTCACAACTTAAAAGCATCATGTTTATATAGTGGTTGCTATAGAGGTTGGGTTTGATCAGCTACTCCTTCCAATGTTTTGTTGTCTGACTCTGGCTTTAACTTGAATAGTAAAACTGCTATTGTTATTGTTTGTTTTACTGTGTGTGGGAAGTTGCCTGAGCTGAAATTCAGATAAGGTAATGAGTGTTTTGTTTCTGATGTATGCTGCTAGTGGTAGACCACCACAACATACTGGCAGTGGTAATTTTGTTAATGGAAATAAGGGTTAAAATGTTATTTTCCAAGACTAAGATGAGATGAAGACAGGGCAACGTTTTCTGTCATGTGACAACTGAAATCCATCCGCGGTCTCCTGAAACCCTGTGAAATAACTAGGTGAACATAGCCTCGAAAAAATTATGCAATTTTGAGTGTGCCTCATGCAAGTGAGTGAACTTGACAAACCATCGGTAGAAAACACACTGTTTTATCTCCTATACAATTTAAGCAACAACTGCTGTAGTTTTGCACATTTGAAACAGACACATTCATACAGTCACTCCATGTCTTAAAACAAACAAACAGAGCTTATGTGGGACTGTCAGTGTGATGTGAAGGAACATCCTAAAATATGAAGACCTGTCAGGTAATTTGAGCTGACATAATCATAGACCAGGTAAACAATAAATAGTTATTTTCTCTCTCTTATAGCATTCTAGTTATGACTTGTTTGGAGTGTGATGAACATTTGGGCTAGTTGTAGATGAGTTTGGAAGCAACTTGTAACATTTTAATAATGTTTTGGCAGATTGAACGAAATGAACAAAATGACTCAAAAAGATTTGTTCACCTTGCAGAACGAGACTTAAAGGTCAAAGTAAAATGACCCGAACTTCCCATCACTATTCAACAGAAGAAAGTCAAACTGCTAATATAAATGGTTAATGAAAGGTGACAGAATGTTTAGTTTTGGTTGAACTATCCCTTTAAGACCACTCTATTTAGCTTGCTTTTAAGTGGATGCCTTGACAATAACTCGACCCTGAAAAGCGCAATGTCAACCCTTAAAGCCCCATTGCTCTCCCGGGTTGATTTTATGCTGCGTTCCTTAACACCCACCCACCTGCAAACAGCTTGTCAGTCATTGGTCAATTATCTCCACGTGTGAGAGCCGTCTCATTGGCAATGGAATGTTTTTTTTGTGCCACAGTGGGGTGTTAGCTTTGTGCCACGCTGCGTTGTGCATCTTAGTGTGCTGCCACGCTGTGCCCGAGCCCTGGCACTGGCACAAACATCATTCACACTCCACCACTCCTCGCAGAGCCCTGACAGACTCACTGATTCTCTGTCACTCCGTCTTTCTTTCCAAAACCCTCCGGTTGTCGCCATACTGCTGAGCTCTTTAAGGAAAGCAGTGCTGCGCGGTCCGGCTTGACTGTTGTGCTCAAAATGAGGACTGACGTTTACAGCAGAAATCTCAGTGTGTGCAGCGCAAAAGCCTCCAGGAGAATTTATACGACTCCATGACGGTTTGATGCATTGGCTCAATTTGCCATATCACAGACTTTGATTAGATTTGTGTGTTGGAAATGTGCACATGGGTAGTTGACAAATAGGCTGTGAAAAATGTTACAATAGAAACGTTATAATAGATAGTAGATAAATAATATATAGATTATAATAGATAGATAATAGAAATTGCAAGGGTCACTAACTGTTTACTGTACTGTAACAGGCGGCCCGGTGGCTCAGTGGTTAGCACTGTCACTTCACAGCAAGAAGGTCACTGGTTCGAGTCCTGGCTGGGCCAGTTGGCATATTTGTCTGCATGTTCATCCAGTGTTCATGTGGGTTTCCTCCCGGTTTCCTCCACAGTTCAGAGACATGCGATATACATTTAGGTGAATTGGATGAACTAAATTGCTCGTAGTGTATGAGTGTGTGAATGGAGAGTTTATGGGTGTTTCCCAGTGCTGGGTTGTGTCCGGAAAGGCATCCGCTGTGTAAAACATATGCCGGAATAGTTGGTGATTCATTGCACTGTGCTGACCCCTCATAAATAAGGGACTAAGCCAAAGAAAAATGAATTGATGAATGTACTGTAACATAAAAATGCCTTGTGGTGTGACAGCAAATATAAATAAGAGTCTTCATAATATACACATAGTGGGAGAGAGAATTATCTCCATTGTTGATCAGCTATCTTCATATAATCTTTTTTATACTTATTTTATATGAAATCATAATTTTTTTTTCTCTTTGATTGTCTGATATTTTTGTTTGATTTTTCAATAAATTGAGGTGACACACCAACGGAGACAAATCTTAATTTTAAAGAGTTTTCAAAAATGTTAAACATGTAAAAATTAAGTTAAGCATGTACATACTAAAGCCCTGCTCCCACTGTGAGATTTCAGCCATGATTTTGTTATCTGAGACACATTTGGGAAATCCTACAAGGTTTCTGAAATCCTAGGCTGAAATCTGTGGCCTTTGATCGTTGGTTTGACATGTTCACAGACAGCCGCTTAAAGCCTGTTGCGATCAGATTTTTCCTCCGATGATGTTCTGGCAGTGTCGGAAGATTTTAGACACTTTTCTGCAGTGTGACAACAGCTGCTATGAGCGTCAATCTTAGAACCAATTGGAGCTCAGAATTTGATGACGTAATCCATGCAACAAATCGAATGACGGTCAGGAAATGTCAAAACAGTTTTTTTATTGCTGGTTTTATTATTGAGACTCGCTGTGTGCAAAATTGCTGCTACAGATTGTTTACGTTTGCTGTGAGGAATAATTTCAGAATGCAGGATAGTGAAAGGCCCAATCCCAATCCCAATTCTATTTTTGTACCCATACCCCTTCCCCTTGGCCCTTAAAACTGAGGTTGAAGGGGAAGGGCTTTAAGATTTATCCCTAAGAACTGGGACAGCACTACAGCGCCTCCACTTTTCATCATATGTCATTGTGATCTCTTCCTTCATATGAGATGAGACGATAGCGACTGCTATAGTTATTCCAGTTGTGTTATCTTCAGGAAATCACTGAAGGCACATATTATGTTATAATAATGATCTAATGTGGCATTAAGATTTTAACTATACTGCGTATTTACATATTGGCCATATTCATTTATATGAACACACAAATAAACAACATTAACATTATAGCAGACACTGTAAAAAGTATAGTATTCGTAAAACATAGTAAAGTAAAAATATAGTATAGTATTCATTGATTCATTTTCTTTTTGGCTTAGTTCCTTTATCAATCTGGGAATGCGGAATGAACCGGCAACTTATCCAGCATGTTTTACGCAATGAATGCCCTTCCAGCTGCAACCCAACATTGGGAAACACCCATACACTCTCATTCACACACATACACAAACAATAGCTTACCCAATTCATCTATACCACATGTTTTTGGACTTGTGGGGGAAACCAGAGCACCCGGAAGAATCCCAGGCCAACACGGAGAGAACATGCATATAGTATTTAAATAACATAAAAAAATATTTTTTTTCAGACAGACAAACAAAAAAATGAACACAAAAAGGCAAACAGATTTGTTTCCAACATTATCATAAATAAAAAAACTGATAGGCTTATTAACTAACCCATTAATTAACTAACTAATATGCAAAAAATATAGAATTTTCAGTGGAATTGCCAACAGAGAACATGGTTTTCAGTGACAAAATGTATGAAATTCCTATGTTTTTATGAATATATGGATAAAAGAAAATGATTGCCATTTACTAAAACA